CCTGATAATCTTTAAGCTACCCAGACTTAGCCGACAGAGACTTTCAACCTGGGACTCCCACTGCAAATAAGGAAGACTTGTGGACCAAACCTTGTGCACAAACACTGTTTTTAAAGTCTTCGAAAAAAGGGAACTTCAACAATCTAAGATTACCCATGCCACAGTAATCATTATAAAAAGGAATGAATCATGGTGGGTTACATGCTCAGAATCTAGTGGGGTCTTTTCTCCTTAGTTTTAAATGTGGTATTAAATATATTTAAGCTTTTTCTATGAGTTAGGATTTTGGGATGCAAAGAAAGATTATTTGTTCAGTGACAATTCTGTTCTAGGCAGAAGACCAACTCTTTCACTTATTTTACAGGTTGAGCATCCTTACTCCAAAATTCAAATCCAAAACTTTTTGAGCACTGACATGACACCACAAGTAGAAAACTCCTCGCCTTATGCGATGGGTCAAAGTCAAAACACAAGGGCACTAAACACATCGTACAAAAGTAACTTCATATTAAGTGTATAAGGCGTACATGAAACACAAATGAATTTTATGCTTAGATCTGGTCACATTCCCAAGATATCTCATTACACATGAAAATATTTCAGAATCTGAAAATATCTAAAATACTTCTGGTCCTGAGCACTGGATAAGGGATACTCAACCTGAATTTGATTCCTGATCACAACCTATCCATAAAAGCATCATTTGACCCATTTTATAGGCTATCCGATAAGTAGGTACTTGCTGAGCACTGTGGTAGATAACATGGGAATCTGAAAATTATGAACACTGACCATGATGATTTTAAAAGCCAAGTGAGAAGTCTGAGAACATGACATGGTGTTAGCCTTATATACAGCCACAGACATGCTGCTAAATAACGTCATAAGCCCTTGGAGAACAGAACTGTGTGAGGTGGTGATACACACTAAATAAGTAAGATAATAAGAAGCAGGGTTATTAGTGTGGCTCAAGCCTGGAGGAGGCAGGAGAGCTTGAATTTGGCTTGCAGATGGAGGCTGGGAAATGGGAAGACTCCTGAGGAGAGGTGGCAGCCAGAGCAAATGGCCCCCTCCTGTCACACTATAGGGAGCAAGGAAGGAGGCCCCAGTCTTCTGTCAGTGAAAAAGAAAATTTGACCAAATTATATTTTTCTATTGTATGCATGTACAAAAAGGTAACAAGGTATCCCACTATTATGTATAATTATAATGCACCAACGAAAAATATTTTTTTTTTTTTTTAAAGAACCTTCAGGACTTGGAGACTAAGGGTCAGTAGAAAGTGTTCAATCATTGCTCTAAAGCTTCATACTGAGAAGAGTAAATTTGGGAAAATGACAGTTTGGGGAGGAAGGAGATAATGATGAGTTTGAGGTTCAAATGAAATATTCAAGTGGAAAATGTGTAGAGAATTGGAAAGAGTAGAGAACGGCCCTCTGAGAGGATGATCCTACAGAATAAACAGCCAAGGAAACAGAAATTAAGAGGCCAAAGAGTTGAGGAGAGGTGGATACCAGTTAAATCAAACAAACAAAATTAGAGAAAATAAAGGGACATTTATGATTCCAGTGTAGTTTTAACTGAGAACATGTAGACAAAATACCAATGGGTAAGGTGGCAAGAAAACAGAAGCAAAAGGGCCCTAAACTCTTCTGTCTAAAAAGGAATTTGCCTGAGGAGCCTGGATGGGAGAGATATTCTATCAAAAAAACACTTATAATGACAATACAGTTACAGTCACAGTTAAGCAGTATATACTTGGCTCGATTTCAGAGAATGAGGAGAATTAAGAATACTTGAGGGTCAAGGTAGAGTGGATTATTCCTTTCTGCTACCCACACCACTCCACCTCCTAAACCTGCTGGTTACCAGCACTGATGTCATCTTTTTGAACAGAAATGGGGAACAAAGTTGCAACAGCCTGGAGCAGTCATGAGATTCCCAGGTTTCCCATACACATTTCACAATTTAGAAGCTAACCAGAGCTTGTTGGCTTCTCTCATCAAGCATTCCTAGAAAATTTATCTGCTTTAAATCCACAGTTTCTGATCATTATCACTGTCACCAGTTTGGTCCTTGTCCAGGTCTCCTGAGCTAAGCTGGGGACCTTCCACATAAGCTTCCACTGCCAGGTCCCCTCCTCTTCAGCACGGTGGCCTACACTTTCCAGTGCCATTAGTCTCTGAGCATGGGAGGCTGATTTTTCCCCACAACACCTGCCTGTTTACTGTCCTTTCTTCTAACATTCTAGCACCTCTATGTTTTACTCCAAGCAGAGCATTTAAAAAATATTGCTTTTCTCTCCTTTTTTTTTTCTTAAAGAATATTCATGTTTTACTAATCCTTGGACTTGATGCAATTTTTTTTTTTGTATGGAACCAGGTGACTATTGTAAAGATTTTCCCAACTCTGTTAGATAACCCTTTAAAAGAGCCAAGTTTCTGGCCAGGGTTGTGGCTCAGTGGTAGAACGCTTGCCTAGCATGTGTGAGGCACTGGGTTCAATCCCCGGCACCACATAAAAATAAATAAAATAAAGGTATTATGTCCCCTCCCCCAAAATAAATAAATAAATAATAAAAGAGCCAAGCCTCTGGCAGAGCCAAAATCATTAGTTTCATCGTTGCCTCCCCCTGCCCCTAATTCAGCCTTATCAGGTCAATTTTAATTAAATTGTTGTTTTCTTAATTCTAAAATGTTTTTCTCTTTTTTCTGAAGAATGAATTTACAACTATCTTTTCCGAGAAGTCTCTGATACCCACTTTTCTAAAATCCCTAATTATGTCCAGTTGATTTTTGAAGCACTAGAATGAGTCACTTTCCCATAAGGTCTTGTCACTTCCATGTCACCAGCTAGCTATTCTTTATTGGAAGCAATTAAGTCCAGAACAGGAATGCCCTCTTTTATTTTCTCTATATTCTAAGACACAAAATTGTCAGCAAGTCAAATCTGGTATTTATTAGATTCTGTGTTAAATGGGATGAAGCTTCTAGCAGATTCTGAGATAGTCTCCCCTATTATTCTATGTCTTGCCTCTGTACAATGCATATTTTAAAAAAAAAAACTATTATCAGAGTTTAATATCCAACCCAGGACTTCTACAAAAGCCTCCCTTTGCAGATGACAGGAAGGAGTGAGGGTGCAAACAGTTATTGCTGATACTGATACTAGCAAAGAGAGTTAATATTTACACATGTGCAAAAAAATCATAGACATTGAAGAGACTAACAACAAAAAAGGAATCAACATTCTAGAAAAAATGATAAAATGTTCTACTATGTTTGGAATATAATGATTTGATAAAAAATTGCTGGCTTGATTTTTCAAGTACGTAGTTACTGTATATAAACCATCACATTACTGTGTTATTTTATGGTTAGTTAACTGTCTCCTTGATGTCATCACTCACCTTACATAATTCAAAACCAGCTGAGAGACAATCAATCTTTTGAAATCCTCTCCCCCTCTCTTATACCTCAAGAGTTTGAGAGTTAGCTTCATTCTTTTGTTTCTTACGAAGTTACATTTTTAGTTCCTTAGACTTCATGGCACTATATCTACCTGTAATTATGCTGCAGAAGCATAAGAAGGCGCCAGTGAAAGGCCAACAGCAGAAAAGATAGCAAAAGGCCTATTTGTGGTCTTGAACAGCTGCAATAGGGCAGGGAGTGCTTGGCAGGGTTCCTGTTGCCTCTGGCCAGGCACAACAAAACCCAAAAGCTGGACTTGCTTTCAGAGCAGACCCCAGTGCAGGGCACTCACTCACTGCCCTGAAAGCCAAGGGCTGAAGCCCAAGTCCAAGAGGGATGATCAAAAAGGGGGACATAGGAAGGGAACAGAGGGAAGGCTGAGAGTGATGGCTTTCTAGAAAGCTCTCCAGGACCTAAAGGGCCATCACCCTTTCTCTCTCAAAACAAAACAAAGCAAAACCACTATCACCTCCTTATAGAAGGCCAGATGTTACTTTTAGTTCCAGTTTGGAAATACTGCAAGTTATTTTTAAACTCCTCCTCCACCACCACCCCCCCCCCCCCAAAAAAAAAAAAGGAAAGGAAAAGAAAAAGAAGAAAAGTAATGATCTGAATTGTACTCAGGACAGGAGAGAAATGAGATGCTGTCAATATTTCAAAATGGGGATTTTTGAAGGGAAAGATTCTCTCGTAATAGTCTTTATCTTCAATTATGTAAAATTTCTTTTGTAAAGGACCATTACTGTCTTAGGATAAATAAAAAAGTGCTGTTATCTGTGTAGGCATTTATTGCTCAATGTGATTTGATGCGTTCAGTCTTTATACAATGATCTTTGCACTATATGGTGCTTCTGGCTCCTTAGTTTAAATTAGTGCTTTCTTACTTAGCTGAGTTAATGTAATTGCAGCAAAGTAGCACATTTATATTCTATTCATCAACAACATTAGCATATAATGCAAATTTACTTTGGAAGTTTATGCACACGCACACATTTCTTCATAAGATTAAGGAAATGGAAGTAAGTTCTTATTCCCAAAGAGACAGGGTGAACAACTGGGACACAGAACTACAGGTGCTCATGAAGAGTGACTAATGTTGTCCCAGCAGCAATTAAGAGTTTGACTCACATTGAGGATGAGCTTAGATGGTTAACTACCTTTCTCAGAAATAAAAGCTGAAGTTTCTCTTATGAGATAGACTGGTACCTAGAGGGGCTCTCATGAAAGAATGAGCACTCCTAAAAAGGATCTAAGCATAAAATAGTTTAAAATTCATGTTTTATCTCTCATACGCCCACAGAGTGAAATTCTAGTGAGAAAATGCTCCAATTTATTTTGTTACATAGGCATTCTGCTGATGGTAATATCAAACAAGTGTCCAAGGACTTAAAACTTGGAAACCCATTTCCTTGTTGCAAATCTGAGCATTTACAGATTTGTCCTATGAAATTCTCCAGTGACACAATTATTATCATCTATAATAGAATCAAGGAAATATTTAGCAGCTAAAACAAGAGAAACTATACTTACGGTTGACAGAGCTTCACCAGGTCCTGGTCGGTGGTGTTGGGGGGCAAGCCTCGGATGTAGAGGTTCGTTTTGCTTAGCTGATCCCATCCTGAGTTGCTACTGCTGCTACTGTTGTTATTACTGCTGGTGGTGCTGGGACTGGGAGGGGCCATGGGGTGCGCTGGGACCAGAGACTGCTGCAAAATAAAGGCCAGGAGTGTTCAGAGTGCTAAAGGTAAGGGATTCAAACACCACTCTGAGGCTGTATGCACTCCAAAATAAAACCAAGGTATAAATACAGATTATCTTCAGTTATTTTGATGTTAAATTTTTATTTACATATTAAAGATCTCTTCTTTCTACTGAAACCCACCTCTCTCCTTCAACATGAAATAACAGGGTTTTACTCAGATAATTCTTTATGTGCACCTTAAATGTGACTACATTTATATAAAATTAATTTATTCACGTTTTAAGGACGACATCTTCTAAGATTCAAACATTAACTTGCATGATGTCACATGATAATATCTTAATACACAGTAATTTAGAAATCACTAGAATTTTGAAAAGGTTTTCAAATTCTGAAGAACATTTGATTAAAAATTGCAGATCATTTTGTTAAGAGGACTCGAAAAAAAAAAATTGGTCTTCAAGTGTAAGGAAGCTCGAATTTAATCCAGATCCTCAAAAAAGGATGACTTTGCCTTGTAGGACAGGCACATGGCTTCATTGAGACATCTGGGTAGGAGTCACAGGCATGCTGTCTCTAGTTCTGGCCAACCTTGTGAAATTTAACCCCTGTGAGAATGGTGTATAGTTGGAAACCTTCCAGGGCCTCATAGACATCACTCCAACTTTTACAAAGCAACCAAGATCTTAGTGTGATTTTATTATCAGCAGCCACCTAGGAAGAATGCCTGAAGCTATACCCAAACCAGAAAATTCTTTGTGAACCAATAGGACGAAACCACATTTCTCTAACCCGATGCCACGTGTGAATTTTGAGGAAGTTAAATGGCTCAGCTTGAGATAGAAGCAAGCACAATGCAAAGTGTCCTCACAGCCACTGCTCAGCAATTTTACACTAGAATAGGATTTTTTTTCACCTCACACCTTTTAAATAGGAAGCATACTAACCCAAGGGCATAATGCATATTAATAGTTTGAATATATAAAATTAAAATTAATAGTTCAACAGAAATTTCAAATCTTGTAGCTTGGCTTTTTACTACCATAGACAAGAAAACTAGACATAGAAAAGGCAAATTCCATCCCACAAGGAAAAATTTGTAAAGCAGACCACTTGTAATAAATAGCCTTCATTTACCTCGTTAATAACCTCAGTTACCTACTGCAGAGTCCTAGTTCTCTACCTACTTTCTGCCATGATCAGCTTAATTCCACACTAACTCAATACACTGAGGTCTCAGCAATTTAGACATACAACCATTTCTTCTAGTCCTATACTTTCCACATTCTTCTTCTCACTGCCTAAGGTCCTTGCTAAAGATATCATGAGTCCAAGCACTATTTAAGGAGATGATTGTCTTTTTTAGAAGGAGAGTAGCAAAAAGGGATTACAAATAGTCAATGTACATGTATGTCAGGCTGAACTTGAACTGGAAATATCAGTGTTGCTTAGTTCAGAAATGAAAGCAGCCTGAGAACACATCTGAGCAATCTATTGACTTCACGCCTTTAATGAGCAGTTGAACTCATATGCTTTCCCCATATTGCTGCCCTTTTTCTAAGGGTTAAAGGCTCTGCTTTCCAGATAAAACTAAGGACTAAGCCCTGTCTCTTGCTCTGCCCTGGGTGGTACCTCAGGCTCCAAGGTTTGCCACCACAAAGGTCTGTGATTCTTCCCTGAAGTCACCAAATTGCTACCTGCACTTATATAACCCTTCCCCATTTCTCACATCATTAAGGTGCTGGGAAGTAGCACCCACATTGGCCTTCCTGCCCTAGCCTCTGTCTATCAGAGAGAACTTGTAGCTATAGGCAGAACCTGAAAAGACTGAATTTTCTCTCAAGTCTCCTTTGATTAGTTTCTGAGACCCTATCCCAGGGCACAAGACACATGGATATTCACAATTGAACCTAGGATGTTGGCTGCAGCTCTTGGCGGATGAAACAATCACTGGTATGAAGGGCTGGGAATGTAGCACAGTGGGAAAGCACATGGTCTCACATATGCCAGAGCCTGTGTTAGATTCCCAGTACTGGAGGGAAAAATTACCTTGACACCAAGGAGAAGACCTGGAGAAGTTATTAAAGACTTTTTACTAAGTCTCAAGAGAAGTTAAGTATGTGTCTTACTGTGCCTGACTTATTTCATTTAACAGGACGATCTCTATTCCCATCCATGTTGTTGGAAATGATAGGATTTCATTCTTTTTATAGCTGCCAGTACATGTAATACATTCTCTTTATCCTTTCATCAACTGATGGATATGTTGTTTGTTTCCATTTCTTAATCACTATGAATAGTCCTGCAACAAATATGGGAGTGCAGGTGTCTTTTTGACACCTGTGTTGATTTCATAGAGGTGGAGAGTGGAATGGTGGTTTCCACCAGATGGGGAGAGTGTGGGTGAGGAAGAGATGGAAAAGATTTATCAATGGATACTGATTTATAATTAGATAGGGGCAAGAAGTTCTGATGTTCTGTTGCCCAGTAGGTTCTCTATTGATAACAATAATAAACTGTACAATTCAGAAACCTAGAAGAAAGTAATTTTGAAAGATTTTTCCATAAAGGGTTGGTAAATACTTGAGAGAAATATATTTAACCTGATTAAAAACGTTACATAACATATGCGTATCAAAGCACCATGTTACCCCATTGATATGTACTACTTGCATGTTTTATGTATTGGTTAAAACTAAATTTAATAATAATTGACCTGATGCAGAATTTTGAGAAAGAATTAATTCCCCATGACTTTTTAAAGTTATAGCACATACATCTGAACATTAATTAGAGTTAGCATGTCAGGAAGGCTTATCTTAAAACAGTGAAGAATTAAACCCTCACTCCTGGACTGAAATGCAAATACTGACAGGTCTTTACAACTTGAGAACTTGATAAATTTAAAGCAATTACACTTTGTAGTTGAACTCTGTGCTTTGAGAAAACAAATGGTAAACTTAAACCCAACAACCTCAAACTTTTTTTTCATTGATGGGTATTCTTTTATTTACTGACTCTCAAAATCCCTCAGCTGCACTGGGATTTGAAAAGACCCCTATGAATGAAGCTTAAACACATTCCATCAAATTAGGAAACCTGTGGCTAGATGGCCATAGTTAAATACTCATTCTCCCCAAAGAGCCTAGGAGTCCGTCTCAGCCTTCTCCAGCCTAATTTCCTTGGTTTAGGTCAAGTAAGCAGGCTACATTTTTGTTTCCCAGGCGGGTAAAATTAACAAGTTCAGTTTTCTTCGTTTATCTGGGCTTAATTTGCAAGCCAAAACTGATAGAAAACCAAGTCAGTAAATAAATGTGAGTAAATGGATGACCCCTTGTATTCTCTACTTGAGTGGTGTGACACTAACAGGAAGAACATTTATTAGCACTCGGGAGGACTTCCTGTGTGAGGTAGTGCTCAGGGAGCACCTCCTATGTGGGGAGCAGTCAGGGAGGAAGAACTTGCATGTGGATAGCACATACAGAGCACTATCCATAGAGAGCACTGGTGCTTCCATCCTGCCGGGAAGACCCCATAGTACCTGGCACCAAAAATTAGGATCAACAGCGGGCACAAGGCAACTGCACACAGGGTAATTCTATTTCCCTCTCTATCATATAACCCCCCATCCAGTGCCACACGGACTAATCTCTTCTGTATAAATAAAGTCCTTTATAGGAAAAGCAAAATTAGCTACATGTAAACCAAAATAATATTAGTAATCAGGTACATTGTTGTAGACTTTTATTCAGCAAAGACAAAAAAAACTGAAGACTTGTCATTTAAAATTCTATTGTGTCATTTCCTTCCTAGTAAGGATAGGATTAAGAATAGGGCCCTAGGGGGCTAGGGTTATAGCTCAGTGGTAGAGCACTTGCCCAGCATGTACGAGGCACTGGGTTCAATCCACAGCACCACATAAAAATAAAATAAAGGTATTATGTGTGGACATAACTTAAAAAAAAAAAAAGAGATCAGTGCTCTAACCAATCTTATAGCTGAACTTGTCCTCCTCTTCCTTCTTTATTCAGCAACCCAAAAATTCCAGTTACATTTTAAAGGGAGAGAAACCTATGTTCTGCCTTTTAATTTCCTTCAAGTCTTCTTTAAGGCTACCATTCTTACAGTTTCAGAAAGTTATAATCCCTACCTCTGTGGTCCCTGCAACACATACACACATATTACCACTGACACCATCGCTGCCCCAAACAGCAGAGAAGGTTAACAGATCAACTATTTCTTTTATCTAGAATCAAAATAACCACTGCAGTTGCTCCTAAGAGCAGAGAGAAATATGGAACACTATCATGTTCACCAGGAAATAGTATAAGGTCAAGTCTGGCATGAACTGAACACAATGTAAAGACTATTACACAGTACAGCAGCCTGGCTGCTGCTCTAATTCCCACACCCTGGTTCATCTCCCTATGCTTTTACGATGCAAAATTTAAAAATAAATTAATAATTTCATGGAATTATCAAAAGAAGAATCACTCAAATGGGCCAACATAATCAGTCAGAATACTTTGTTTCTTTTACAAGGACAGGGAAAGAGAAATTCCGGTGCAAGGAACTGGAAAAACAAAATCAAGAGGTGGATAATGAACTGGTGAGAGCTGAGAAACTGGCCAGGAAGCCATTGCACTTCCTGGTAGGTCAGGGCACGAATGCCTGAGGGCCCAGAGCATCAAAGAGGAAGACCTGGTTACTGAAGAATGACAGCGCCTCTTTACACACATAGTGTCTCACTTGTAGAGTGAAAGTGCGGGAAAGATCAATTAATCCTATTTGAAACAAGGATATTAAAGCTTAAATCACGTACTAATTAGTTCATGAAATGGGTTTTCAGACTTCCACTGTTCTTTATTTGGAAACAAACCTCACAGCCTCTCAAGATTATGAAACTAAGCAATAGACTATTAAATATTTTTGTTGGATTTAAGCCTGTCAAAAGAAAGGGATCCATGTTATATTAGCTATTCTAATAAAATCTAAAAATAAACA